CCCCAAAAAAAGAGAAATAGAATAGTTCCTATTTTCTAAGCTAAAATGTTACAAATCATATGGAAAGCCATAGAGAGCTAAAACTAATGAAATAAGACTAAATTGCAAAATACTTTGATACAACCTGAAGAACTGTAAAAGTTACTGATAAATTGAAGCTAAAATCTCGTATACACCTTTAGTTTCAAGCTTAACATAAACTCACAAAAACAAGAATGGTGACCAATCTAAAACTGTAGGCATCACTATCAATTTAAGATACATGAGGCAGACTAACATCAATATTTGGTATGAAGAAAACAAATACTGAAACCCTTTTACTTGTGCACACATTCCGACCATGAAAAATAATTTAAGCAAATTGGAAATTTGAATTTGGGAAAAGAAGAAATACCCAGTACCAACAGGGCCACCAATTCCAATAGTAAATGCTCTTTCAGTGAAGTTCCTGTTAATAAGTGGAGGTGCTCTTCTGGTAAAGTAGCCAGGTGAGTATATTGGTTCATGGGAATGAGGAGCCAGCCCATCATGGCTATGGTATACCCTTCCATCTTCTCCTACCCATGTTGTTGTCTTTGCATCCCTGATGATAAATTAAGACAAATTTTGAAATAAAGAATCAAATAAAAGAAAAATGACAGAGTAAGTTTGTGAATTTGATGCTGAGATATCTTAAGAGGAAATACTCATGGCTATGGTCATGATGATGACGATGGTGGAGGTCATGGTCATGCATATGGTGATCTTGAGAAGCCATTTGACACAAGTCCTGAGAGATGGTGGAGACTCTCACAGGGGAACAGTAAAGGGACGAGATTCCAATCAACCCTTGACAAGAATATTCCTTAAGATTAAAATATCTGCTGGAATCTCTTTATCAACAAAGAAAGGTTTAGAGATAAGTCCTTTAAATATGGTTAACCTTGTCCTTCCAATATAATTATGAACAAAAATAGTCCTAGTCCTATAAGGAAAGGACGGTTTGAGGTTTTTCCCTTTTTTTCTTGAAATGGTTATACACACAAACTATTTACGTCAACACAAGATGTGTGTGATTTCTATAAATTTTATCACTTAATTATATAATAAATATTTGATTTGGTGTAAATTCTAAGTGTGAGTAAACTACTTTATTTTGACAAAATATGTTACTTAAACACATACTCCCTCGTTTCAGTTTATGTGAACCTATTTCTTTTTTGTACGTTTCAAAAAGAATGAATTTTTTTTAAATTTGAAAATAATTTAGTTTAAACTTACAATTCTACCTTTTTGGGTCTCTTTTTAACTTATTTAGGACCACAAATTTAAAAGTCTTTATTTTTTCTTAAATTTCGTACCCAGTCAAACACATTTACATAAATTTGAATGGAGGGGGTATTTAATAGTGTCTAGAAAACGGTGATAGAAGCACAAACCAAGAACAACACGTTGCTGCTCTTTGTTTCACCAAAAAATGACACGTTGGTATGCATCCCTCATATGACATCATTTTAAGATTCATAAATTTATTCCTGGGAAAATGTTCACTTATACACACCCCTCCTTATTACTTTTCAGTTTTCCGTAAATAATTTTGTGCAATGCAGGACGATAATCTAGCAAATAATAGCTGCCTCCAAAGATTTTAAGAGTGAAATTTTAACCCAATCCAAATGCATAAATAGTAAAATAGCCTCTTAAACTTTTTTTTGTACCTCACATATGCTTTCGTGAGACTCCTTGACAATTTTATTTATTAATACTCTTCCTGTCTTCCATAACAAAATGTGAAAAAATTGGATCAGATTGTCTTGTCACGATCAGTGTTTTAAAAGGTGTGGGTGTAAGACGGGGCGTTTTATATATGCTTCAACGAAGCGTAAGCCCCGATGTTACTTACAATTTTTAATATTTTATAAAATAATATAATTACAATAAATATTTATGAACATATAAAATTACATAAAAATGAAGAAATATATATATATGTGTGGGTNCACAAATAGCTTGAGTCAAAAAGAATAAAGTTTTCTATATGGAGGAATAAAAACGATGATTAACCTACAATTTGAACTTTGAACTTGTTGCTACGAAGAAGAATGGAGTTCTCTTTGTATTTGTAAAAAAAAAATGAATATTCGTTGCTTTGAGAGATATTAGCAGACTAGTGGACAAGATAAAGAATTGGGAATGACTATAAATTAGGGCTTCAATCAATAAAAAAAAAGGTCTTGACTTTGAAATTTAATACACTTCAGTTCCTTTTTAAAATTTTGAGTAATTACAAGCTGACTTTTTAGAAATTGGGTATTATATGAAGGACTTATTTAACAAATTTTGTTTTAATTTGAAAAAGTCTCTAGAGCTTACGCCTTACTACAAAAACGCGCTTCAAACTTCCGAGCATATGCCTCAAATTGTTGGGCATACGCCTCTTGAGACTTTTGTTCCACTCCATTACCTCGGGACATTTTTGGTATCCCTCGTCCTGGGGCTCGCCGAAAAAAAAAGGATTACCATCATAAATATTTATAACGTCAAGCCAGTACAAAACGTGAGAAATACTCCTATCTATGTACAAAAATTAATGCATTCCCTTACATATAACTGCCTAATCACTCTTGAGAAATCTAAAAATCATACTTCATGTTTGGGGAAGGAGGAAAGAATAAGTGGTTTAAATCACTGTATAAGCTTCCTCCTATGTTATGATGCATTCACATAATTGGTGTCCTCAAATAACAATACACCAAAATCTAGTATCTATAAAGTGCAAACAAGAAAAAAAAGTGGAGGAATAGGAATTACAGTTTCCAAAAAACATGAAATATTCAAGTTTGTTGAAATAATTTATTAAGGACATTGTTTCTGGAAAAGTAAGTCCCAAGTGCATTGCTTTTCCTTCCTGATTCTGTTCTCGTTATCATCTTTTGGCCATCACTCTGAGGAACAACTATTTCCACTTGGGGTGTCATAGTTTCGTTATTTCCAAGAATGACCCCTTGCTTTTGTATATATTCCCATTTGTCTTGGAAAAGATAGAAAAATCCCATGAATGAGATTTGTGCTGTAAAAATTATTGTCCAAAGGCTTATTGGCTTAGATGTTCTTTCATGGTAGGCTGATAAGCCTGTGTAGGTGTTGATAATTCCGGCCAAGCATATTGTTGTTCCAAGTAGCCAATGGAAAAAGAACCATACACTTCTTCCTTTACTTCCCCTGCAGTCCAAAAGTTGTCCAAAAATTTTACACTTAAATGTATCATAAAACGTACTCATGCTGACATACTTTAGTAGAGTTACAAATGGCTCAAGGACGTAATCTAGTCGTTAATAAAGTGATCAAAAGCAATTAATATAATAGCACGAGAGACAAAAATGCTGGGCGAGTCTTTCCTATCAACATCCCCTGATAAATAGAGTTACTCTATACTTGTGCAATTGTGCTAGTGGAAATTAGCACGTTCCCAATGAAATAATTGATATCCGCGCAAACAGCCCGAATATCACCAATGACTTATTTTTAAAAAGTGCGGGTATGAAAGGACAAACAAAAATTTTTAGAAAATGGAGTTCAAATTTCCTTTTGAAAGCAAAGGTATTGTTTTTCCTACGTATATATTTGATTATTAGTCCTAGTTCTTCATGGTCTACTGGTTTTGCAAAAGTTAAGAAAATGTTACCTCTTAGGCCGGCGAAATCCCATAAGAAATTGGACATAGATGGCAATATAAAGGGCTAAACCTATTCTTTGGTGATTGTTGTTGAACATATTCTCAAAACTCTTGATTGATAGCACCGCTCCAGCGGTAGCCAGTAGAACAGAGAGCACCTTTTCAATTTTTTTTAAAAAAAAGGAAAGAAGGACAAATCAATTACTATTGCAGTTAGAAAGAAAAGAGATTTATAATTTTTAATTATTTAAACTAATTCTGAATTATGAAGAATGGCATTGGAGTTCTCTTTTATTGCCACATATTATGGCCATAATCATAGTCAAATCCGTATTAGTTACTCCCACCAAACTGTGGGCTCACATAAATAAATTTTGAACTTTATAACCCTCACCATGATTAAAGTGCACATATGATAATTACGTAGCAGAACAAAGTAAAGATCAATTTATGATGATTACTTGTCATTGCTCAAAAGAGAGGTTCATTTTGTTTTTGCTTTAATTTCAACAATTTCAATTTATTGTCCCCTAATAATATCCGAGTCCTTTCTTTAAAAAAATTATCAGAATTTGAAGAATTAGAAATAAGAGTGAAATATTAAATACCTGAAGAATTCCATGAACATAGAAGAGAACTTTGAGTCTTGTTGTGCTACACTTCTCTGTGTTGGACATTCTTATTGTGAGTATTCCAGCTGGCATCAAGAATCCCATTGAAGCCCATAACAATATTCCATGAATTTCAATCTCAAATATCCTATGATAATTCACCTGCAATACTTATCAAATTCACATTCCTTGTTTAGAAAAAGCAGAAAAGAAGAGAAAGGAATAAGGAAAGTAAAAGATTTTCCTATGTCCCCTATTTTTTTTCTTCTGAACTCATCATAAACCAAACAAGTCAAAGGAAAACTTGCTCACTTTCTCTCTCTTTCCCCCCCTGTAAACAAGGAACAACATACGCACTCAGAGGTGGATGCAATGTAATTTCCAACGACTTTAACATAATCTCGTGCTTTGTACGGGTTATAAATATATATATGTGAAAAATCACTAAAAGTTCTATAATATACTAAGTTTTGAACCCATAATTGCGACAGTGCAATGAATTCAACCGTGAAAAAGTGCAACGGATTGAATTCCGAGAATATGAATATTAAACTCGTCAAATTTAAATCATGAATCCGCCTCTATATCATTAACAATATTGGTATTGGGGTGGGGGTGTTGATCATACCTTGTGAACATGCTGGTTGATGCTTATTAACTGGCTGTTGAGTTGTATCTCTTCATTGGATGAACAAGCAATGAAATGGGGAAGTACAATAAAAGCAAAGACAGCAGAAATGCTTGAAGATGGCAGCCAATATTTCCTCATTCTTGATTCTTCAGAATTCCAAGAACAGCTTCAGAAGTGCAGCAACTTCAATACTGAGAAATCTGAATTCTCAGAAAAGTTGGTATTTGATGGAAAAAGAAACTCAAATGACAGTTTATCTTTTTTGCAGTGAGAAATGGACTTTTAAAACCATGCAAGCAATTAAAGGAGTCTTTTAAAGATTTTTCACTTTACGACATTCTTAGCTTTTTATTGCTTTTTATATATTTCTAAAGATAAAAAAGGATAACCAATTGACTTTATTTAATCTAAGTTGTAATGATGGGCATGATGTCTAGATTAGACTAAAGACATTATTGTATTAGCTCTACTAAGATGTGTCTTTTGCTTTTTATATAAAGAAGCTACTTTCAGATCATTGAACAAAAAGAACAAGTAGCCATAACTTCATGTCTTATACAAAAGTGCCCAGCTACGTATAATATTATAACCTCTAGTTTTGATCATATACCAAAAGTTACTACAGTAAATACAGGAAATAGAGTATGGAGAAATTTAGGGGGGGGAAAGAACTGAAAAGAAGGAAAAGAGAAGAAGAAATTAAGAGTGAGATTGCATTTATGATTGAAGTTGAATATTATTATGGCTTTAGATTAGGGTAATAAGTTACCATTGCATAAGTCGTAAGCTTAATAACCATTCTCAAAATGCAAGGGGTTGATAGAGACACAATTATAGCTAGAGAAGAATTTTAAATGTGCAGTTAAGAGTAATACCACAAATTTCAATCATTTGGATTTATGGGACACATCACATCTCTAACCAAAATTTGAACAAACAACAAACATGTGATTTCTTTACAAACATATGATTATTGCTATTACAAGATTCAACTAAAGCTTGATTAGCAAGTTTTTTTTTTCATGTCAGTTTATGTCAAAGTTTCAGTACAAGACAGGTCAACAATAGAGAAAGGTAATGATTTTTGCATACTATGGTGGTAGACAAAGATAAGGTGCTTTTGCCCCACTGTAATCATATATACCAAAGCTTCTTTCCTCACATTCATAATAATGGCTTCCAAAGTCTACAATTAACAATACTACACATACTCCAATTTCTTTCTTTCTCATGCATAACCTCCTCCTCCTTTTGTTTTTAATTTTATAATACTAATTACCTTTTTTCAAACTTGCTCCATTCACGTAAAAAATACTCTTATTTCACTTAAAAATAGAATATTCAAATCGCCTTTGTTCAATAAATATCTCCATATTTCAATTTTATGTAATTTACTTCAAAATACTTTCAACAATAAGTAAGATCTCTCCTTATTTCTTTTAAGAAATTGGTGGTAGGAACTTTAGGAAAAGCAAATTTAATACATACAATTAGAAACTTGCCAAACTTTTATCATATTCCTCGTTGATGAAAGGATATCCTTGTATCATGGCTTACTTTTACTTTATATTGAGTAATACCTTTTACATTTTCCCTTTGATTGAGGTTGGTGGAAATAACTGGCCACATATATAATCTAGGTTTTTTCATCTGAGGCATGTCAAAAATTGCTGCTAAAGTAGAGGATCGGCAAAAGTTAAATCTTTGGAGTAATTATGGCTTTATAGTAGATTTTCTTATAGTAGAATTTTGTAGCAAATGAAGAGCACTTTGACATCTATCTGGTTTGGTGAGAGGTCACATCCATGTCTGGACTTCCATTTTGTCATGCATGCATTTCCCTACTTGTATTAAAACTTCTTCCCAAAATTCTTTTTATCATTGTAAAACCAGATCTTGTGACATGTAATTGGCATATGTGAGATGATGCAAAAGAAGGGTGCAGATTTGATCTTTTCTTTACCTTTCACTTTCAGATAAGTTCATCTCAGCCCTATAAATGGCTAACACCTGCACAAATAGCCAATGCAGTTACAAAGAAAGAGCTCACCTTTTAATGCACTAAATGAATTTCACATATCAAGTCACCTTAAAAGCTATTATATGTAGGTGTCCATAAAAAGTGAAATCAATGACATCAAACAGGTTGATAGTATAATTTTTTTTTTAACATAATCACTGTATGCAAATTAAACCCATAAAGAAATTTATTCGTTGCTTCATAGAGAAAAATTGGCTAGAAGTGGTACCCTACAATCGCATTCGACCCTTCAACACAAGTTTTTAGCTACATAACCAATACCAAGCTACCAAAATGAGAGTCTGTTTCAAATTTTGTTGCATGAAACTTTTTGGTCCATCACCAGGTACACATGATCAGTGCCGCCCGTTGGCAAATATCCTAAAACTCAAAACATAGAAGGGCGGCATATACCAATGCTAAGTAAAAAAATTAGCTAGTCATGTTAAGGTCTGACTGTTTCAGCAAGTCTTGTTTTGAATGTGGGAAGGTAAACTTTGCAAAACTGAACTGCACAATAAAACCAAACAATATACCATGCTTGAAAATATTCTAATAACCATCATTTGATCAGAACAAAAAGGGAAAACCTTCTCTCTTTCACAATAAATCTTAAATCAACTCAACTAAAGCACCAAAATTGCAGAAATCTGAAGTTGCTTCTCAATGAACATATGACCAAACATGTTACATGAACAAGTTGGGCCTAGTAGCCTTGTATGTGGTTTTGAGTTTCCTGCTAGGTGGCCTGACTTTCTTGAACACCAAGGGGAACTTGATCTTAGAGTCATGGAACTGCTTTGTGCTCTCCCTCTTGCAGAGCTTAGCTGGAATGGTGGCTGTCTTTATGATCTGAATGCAGTGATGGCGGACTCTGTGGCGGGAAGCCATCTCAGTGTACATCTGCTCCACGGCACCATTCAATGTGGTATCACGGTACTCCTTGTACATGTTATGATAACCAGTTCTACTCTGGTAACGGAGCCAAATACCATAATTCTTGATTTTTGTTGGGTTCTTCTCAAAGATCTAAAAAAGTTAAACACACAATCTTATTGAGGTAGTTCAATATAACATTTATAGTTAAAGGAGACCAGAGAGCTGCTGAAATGAAACCCCACAGCTCACAGGAACATAAAATTAATTCACAAAAATGAATAAAAATATGAAATGCTAATCACCGCATCATATTTACACATTGCAGATAGAGCAACAACCCATTGGCATGAATGAGTACAGGACTAAGTATCAGTTGGACTTTAAACTAGCTAAGACCCCCAAACTCTTGAATAGTTAAAGCAAGACTACCAGACTGTCCAACAACAGCTTATTATCCACTGTTCCCCTTCTCAGAATAATTACCACATGATAGGCAAAATAAAAGAAATACGGATATGGTGTATGCATGTCGTACAACAACAAAGCCTCATTCCCAAGCAAATTGGGTTCAACTTTATGAATCTTCACCTTCTATTTTGCTCCATTTGAACCTGCTTCATTTAAATATTCAATAACTCAAGAGCTCTAACACTCTAGATTTACTTCTACACTAACAAATCACTAGCAAGATTAAAGTATCTCTAAGTCAGTATTAGACCCAATGTAAACTTAACAGCACTACTAGACCTAATTCCATTCAACTGGCATCACCCATATCAATTTTGCTATTCGTCTTCTAACAACTTGGCCGAGAAGCGCTAATAGTGTTCAAAGATGTTTCTAGAACCTTAACATTGAACATCTCAGCCAATTTATATAGAAGGTTTTTACCAAGTTGTTGCAGCATTTTTCAACATCCTATGGAAGCTTGGAATTCCTATAGCACACTAAGAGAAGTCATTTCCCTCCTCTTTTGAGCTTAGCGTAAGTCTGCCTAAAGGTTGGACCATAAACTACGCTCCAACTTATTCCCCCCCCCCCCTCAAAAAAAATAAAAAAAACCACTGATTTTCTACATCACCGTCTCCTGAGCTTACCAAATACTACAATCCAACCACCAATTAGAAGTAAGGATCCTGATTGCAATGCATGTCCACCCGAGCTTCATAAATTTGCATTGTGTTACCCGAAATAACAAATCAATTAGAATCCAAACAATTAAAACCAGAACATAATAGACCAAAAACACAAACAGGCACAAAAATTGCTATCATTAAATTACTAATCACCCATTTCTAATACATACAATCCAAAAATACACATATAGAGATACGTATCCTCATCATACCTCGTTAATAGCCAGCATCTGACCGTTGCTCTTCTTAACCTTCTTAAGCTTCCTCAAGTAATACCTTTTTATTTTCAAACAAATCAAACAAAGCCCAATTAGCATAACAATTTACCAGCATAAATACATTAAAGAAGATCGAGAGGAAAAAAAGCTGAAATACCAGAATTTGGACTTAGCACGAACTTCATTGGTAGCCCATAACTTCATACGATAAATCTTGGGATGCTCATCTGTTTCAGAGGGCAGAGCTCTCCCGACAACCTGGTACTGATGGAACTGCAATCACACCAACAAAACATCATTGTTTGTTCAAATCTTGACGAGTCAGAGAAGAAATGCAGAATCTTGAAAACCCACTAAAGGAAAAAAGAGCCTTTACCTTGTAGTTCACCATTTCTGCACAACTCTCTTTCCCACTGCGCTGCGTTTGTCGAAGGGAGTAAAGAGAAGCGAAAGGGTTTTTATGGTAAAAGGGCCTCTATAGAAAACCCTAGTTTCGAATCGTACTAAATTGGATGCAGAATTAGGCCATATCTTGCTGTTGGGCTTTGGAAGGAAGTTTGGGCTAGATATTGATGAGGCGGCCCATGTGTTAATATTAGTTAGGGGGTTTTGGCATGGGATAATAAGAACTTATTTATCTATTTTCTCTCAGTTTTGTAGTTTTTAAAAAGTATCTAGATTTTTTTTCTTTACAAATTGTATACATTTCTTATTAAAAGACTTCTAACCCATTATTAATGCGTCCAATTAAAGGATTCAATTATTTTTTTTTTCTTTCATCTCCTCTCTCTCGCCTCTTCTACCATATCTGAAAGCAAATTCTTCTTCAAATATTATTTACCAAATTCTTCTTCCAATTTTTCAAAAATCTAATATAAGATTTTTCCTATTGGTACAAGAATCCACAAGAGAAAACACAAATGGACGAATGTAGTTTTGAAGCAAAT